GCGGTTGTGTTTGCGTTAGCCGGTGACGACGTCTTCGGTGACGGAGCCATAGATCCAGCCAACTCGACCACCCCACTCTGTTTTGTCTTCGAACCAGCAGGAGATAACTGTGACGGCTTCGGAGATGGAGGAGGTGGAGAGCGGAGGGCGGGGGATGCGGAGGGCACCGGGGGGGCGGCGATACTGTGAGGATAAGTGGTTGGCGATGGGGCGGCTTTGGAACTCGGCGGTGGGGATGGATTCGATTAGTGAAGAGGAGTTTCCGAAGCGTTTGGGGAGGAGTGATTGGGGGAGGAGGGAGTCGGTTTCGGCGGCCACGAAGTGAGGGTGGTCGGAAGGAATTGAATTGTGGTGGGAGGGTGGCGGCGGGTCCCGTAAAGGGCGAAGCGGCGGAAGATGCATCCGGTCCCGACGTACATTGGACCCTGAAAGTGAAAATAAAAATGGGAAATAGCACCTTAGCAACGCACCAACGGTTTCTGAATTGATGGCATTGTTGTAAATTCGTACTTATTCCTACCAACATATCACCGAATGTTTAGTCTATTTATACACACACTACACAATTCCTACATATCTAACAAAACTTTTTTATTTACATATATAACACTCAGATCTTTAACATTATATTAAAAAAATCATTTTTACTTATTTTTTTATAAGTTGAATACAATTTTTTATTCACAGTTTTTTAAGAAGATATTATAAATATATATATAAAAGTTTAGGTGTTAGATATGTAAATACATAAGAATTGCATGATAAGTATGTAATTTTCCAAAATTTAATAAGGATCTATAGCAACATATTAGTAACATCTATAATTTTCATGCAAGGATGGGGGGAGTTGATTTAAACCATTAAAATTGTTAGTTTAGCTCATTGGGGAAACTAAAACTCATTCTCCTTTTTATCAAGAGAAATATTTGCGTACGAAAGACGTACGAAGAGTTGCATACATATTAGGTAGGTTATTTGGAGGGTACATGTAGATTACAATTATGTTATAGAAAGAATTACAAGGATATAACCTAAGTGTAACATACTTGTCCCATCTGAATAATCTAATATGTACGTAACTCTGCATACGTCTTACGTACGCAAATATTTCTCCTTTATCAAAGGGGCATTCTTATGTATTTACATGCCAGAACCTTATTGTTTTTATTTTACGATTATACCACCAAACTTTTCATATCACGTAAAAAATGCAGCCATTTTGACTTCTAAAGTGTAATGCACTCTTTTATGCATACGTGAGGTGGTCTGCACGTAAAAATTAAAGTTTAGGTGTTAGATATGTAAACACATGGTAATTGAGTGGAATGTATTTCATACAAAAACTCGTAAAATCTACGATTATGTAAAGCCCTAAATCATATTGAGGCTTCGTTTGAACTAACGATAATGTCTAACTAATTTTTTTTTAAATTATGTTTATCATCGGATTAGTTGCAATCTACGAATAATTGCAGTCCTTACGAAAGAACTTTGAGAGATCATGTCCGATTTGTGTCTAGAGTGCCGCGTGATAAGTGAGCCCCATCTTTTTAAGAAACCTACCTTTACTACGATGGGATCCACTTGCTATTTCAAACAAAGCCTAAGCCATATAATTATGCATCTCTACATTGACCACAAGCTACAGCCATATTTTTGTACACTAATTCTTCAAAAGAATTTCAACGATCAATTCAAAAACTTAGGAAGAATTTCAACGATCAATTCAAAAACTTAGGAAAAATGTCGCGCCGACTCACCTGCAGACCATCGAGCGCTCGCATGTTGCCGTCAAAAAACACAGTATTGTTATTCGCATATCGATCGTTCGGGTCAATTCCTTCGAATCGCTGCGGGAATTGAATGAAGCAAATATCCTCACCGCCATGATCGAGGAGGAAGCACATTCCCTCACGGATAGCCATTGGGTTGTAGATATAATGGTCGCAATCAAGGTTAAGGATGAAGGGCCCGTTCGACATGACTGCGGATGCGCGCACGAGCGCATTCATGGCGCCGGCTTTCTTGTTGTGATCGTAGCCCGTCCGTTTCTCCCTCGACACATAGACTAACATCGGCAGCCGCACGTCCACCTCCGTGAAATCCATCCCGACTTCATCCTCCGACCTCCCGTATGTCGGCTCTAGGGTTGCTGGCTTTAGCATTACCTGAATCATAATAACAATAACAATAATAATAATAATAGTAATAATAGAAGAAAAACAGGGGCAGGTACCTGAAGAATGGCGGCATGATCCCCTTTCCCATGCTCCGGCGCCGCCACCGCCCAAGTTCCCGGCCAATGCGTCCCCTCAGCCATCCAGGTCGCCTTCTTAGCCCTCACCACCTCCATTACCCCATCATTATCCCCAGCCGCCTCTTTCATCCTCCTCATCATCTTCATCTCCTCCCTCGCATTAAACGCATCCGACCGCCTCCTTATCACTTCCGGCAACCCATTAATCCTGACCTTAAACTCATCATACTCCCTTTTCACCCTCCTCCGATCCCTCACAAAATCCTGCCTCCGCTTATTCTTCGTCGGATCCCTCCGGAGGCTAAAGTAGCTCTCCGGATTCCGCGGCTCAATGTCGTGCTTGCGGCAGAAGGGGACCCATAAAGCCGCGAAGGCGGCGGCTTCAGCCATGGCCTCGAAGGTGAGGAGGGAGCCTCCATCGTCGGAGAGATAGCAGGAGATCTTATCGACAGGGTAATCGGCGGCGAGGATGGAGAGTATGGTGTTGGAGGTGACGAGAGGGGGTTCCTTATCGGGATCGGCGGTGGAGACGAACACGTCGACGGAGGGTAGATCGGAGGGGGTGGAGGGGAAGGGATCGAATTGGTTCTGGAGCGCGATGAGGTCAGTGGAGCGGTTGATGGGATGGAGTTTGGGGAGTTGGTCGAGGATCCATGAGAATGCGAACCAGATCTCGCAGACGACGGACATGCCCCAAAGCCATATGGCGTCTTGGTTTTTGTGTTTGATACGCCAGGTGAGGAAGAACCCTAGGGTTATTAGGCGTATCAGAATCAGGAGCCTGTGTAGATATAGCCAAGGAAATTTGATATTTCAGTTAAATTTTTCCTTACTTTCAGAATTACATTGCAATTATCAATAAGCGCTGCATTTCGCACATGATTGTTATAAACTAGTAAAACACATTATTCACAGACCTGTAAGGGCTAATGATTGCCGCTGAGATCGGAATCCGGCGAGCTAGCGGCCTCCACTCATTATCCGAGGCGCCATCGGGGATGCCAATGCCGTCTTCTCCGCCGGCGCCGGCGCTGCCGCCCTCAACATAAGCTTCGTCTTTTGACCAGAAGGCGTTGCGGTAGCCATATGTTGCTTGGGTTTCATAGAGCCATTGGCTGTGATCGAAGTTGGCCGGCTGGCTGCTCTGCGAAGCCGACATGGAGCGGTTAGCCGTCCAGTGTAGCGGCGCCGGCGGCACGGAGGAGAAGCTGGATTCGTTGTCATCAAACTCGGGCACTTTGTAAGCTTCTTTGCAGCCGGGGCAGTTGATTTCTCCGTTCCTTTGAGCGTCCGAGAAGCAGTCATTGCATATCTTAAAGCTGCAAATATTTGGATGGTATTTTTGAATTTTTTTTATTATTAATACGATGTTGATCGAATAAAGGAAATAAAATGTGAAGTAGCAAATTGAATTCTTGATATGGTTTATTTTAAGCACAACATAATCGTGGATTAAGCCAATTATTTTATCTCTATCAGTTATCTGAATAATATCTTATTTATTGTAAATTATATTTTTGAAAAAAAAAATGATGAACTTCGTTAGATTTTGGTGTTGCCTGATAAAAAAGAATTATCATATATAGATGAGTTTTGAGTAAAGTGTTAGAATAGTCCCCGATTATTTATGTCAAAATTACTAACACGAATCTTGAAGAGAATGAACGACTTAGATGAAGGCTCTCCTTTTAAGATAAGCAATCAACCGACAATTCAATGCCGAGCACGGAGCCGTGTCTCCAAACCCGGGATATGTTCAAGCTTCAGAAATGGTCCCTTGCTCGGTAGCGGCAATATCGATCGAAAGCGAGGTATGAATCATCCCGACAGCGAAACTCATCGAATACCCCACGTGGGCTGTGACAAGATCCGCTTAAGAATTTGCAAGATTGGGAGATCTAGTTGAGGCGACCAGACAGATGAGACACGAGCCCTGTAAAACTCGACTTGAACGGAAAATGAGCCATGACTCACTATGAAAAGAGTTGGTCGATCACACTCGACCGACCAACCCCACGTCTGGACCAAATGACCACTCAAAATCGACTGTTCAAATCTACTATGCTAAACGACATCGAGCAAGATCGTCATACGACCGAATACCTCAAACGTCCAACACATACTCTATAGGGCACATATGTCACTCGGTCGGTCGCCTCAGCCGGTTGACTAAGCTAATCGAACCGCCAATTACCACTAATGTTGTAATTCAAATTGTAATACAAATTTGACATAAAATTTACACAATCAATTAGAGTCTTAACGATATTAAGAACGGTTTCCATAACCGTTCTCTCCTTTCCATAATTATACAGAACACGCATATAGAAGTATGTGGCAAAAATACAATTAAAGTAGTATTTTCTCTCGATTATCTCTACAAAGATCCCAAACTTATTCTACTTTTTTTCTTCTCTCATTCACTTGGCTTTAACTCTAGGAGTGTGATTCACAAATGACAAATGAGGATTCAACAATTTATATGTTATTTTAATCTCAAAATTTATAGAAATGTCAAAATAGTCCTCAACTATTTTAAAATTGAGCTTTAATAGTCATTCTTGGGGACTATTTAAATTTCAATTTAAAAAGTCTGAGAACTATTTTAATACTTTTGTAAACTCCAAGACTAAATTATGTAAATAATCTGGGGATTATTTTGAATTTATAAATCCACTGTTGTGGAATTATTGAATTGAATAAATAAATAAAATATTATATATTTTTTCTTATATTCATAACACTCAAATCTTTTATATGACAAATAAATATCACTGATTTTTTTTTTCTTTTTAAAAGTGAAATGCATATTTTTTCATGCATAAATAAGATGATATATATATATATATATATAAAAATTAAATTTTAGGTGCTCAATATGTAAAGGCATCTGAATTGAGTGGCATGAACGTAAATTTTACAAAATTAAAAAATGAAGCTCTAATACAATATTTTTTTCTCCTTTACATAAGCATTATATATTGACAAATAAGTATTATTTTTTTATAAATTCATTTTAAGTAGTTGCAAGAAAATGAATTTGCTGAGAATGTGGAGAAGATGGTGGCAACGTGCTCAAAATGCCCACCATTAACTGCTCACAAACCAACTTCTTTTCTAAGTGCTGGTTGAGCAGGGCCAAGAACTCCATTTCTTACTCTTATACAAGATGGTTGAGTGGGTAACTCAATTACTGCTGTTATTATTCATGCATTGAAGCGGTGAAACTCAATTATTATTATTATTATTATTATTATTATTTTTTACAATAAACTCGTCAACTCTGCCTATTGGAAACAACAATTAGCTCTCTTTTTACTGTTTAAATTCTTTTGATTTTTTTTTTTCTCTTGGTGTTGAATTGTGAATTGTCTTCTTTGTGAAACATATCCCGAGAGTTGGAGCTAAAAAGAGTGAGATGAAAAAGAGAAAGAGATGGAGAGCTAGAGAATGAAAGAGAATCTTGTAAGTGTCAGAACCCACAAGCGTGAGGATATAAAAATGAATAAACCCAAAAGAAATGTCCTTTTTTAATTCAAATTAAAAGGTAATGAATAATGAACGGTGGCGTCTGGTCAATAGCTCAAAGACTTGGGTTTGATCTGCTATATTGTTCAACCATTAGATGTGTATGTCGGTCAGCTGTGACGAATGAGCATGTTCTCCTATAGGTATCAGGTTTGTTGGACGTAGGATTTGGTCATTCGATTGAGGCCTTTTGGTTGTTAGTTATGTCGCTCAGAGGGTTCCGTCGACAGGAGACTCCGCTGGTCGGAATAATGTTTTGGTTGATTAAGCGACAAAGTTGACCAACTACTTGCTAGAAGATCTTTTGTCCTTTCATTTGAAACTTTATTTGTAATGTGTTTTTGGTTGTTTGAACTCCTCGACATTCGTGCTATCACTTTCATAGTATACATATTAGTTATCCATTTTTTTTTTGGCTCCTTGATGGCTACAACTACAATAAGGAAAGAAAAATTACTAAGCAGCAAACGATTTGACCAGTTAACTTATGGATTTCTTTGGTGTTTCGGGGAAAAGACACATCTAAGATCGCTTGTATTTTTTGTGGGTTGGATTTTATTCTTTCGGAAGTCAATAAAAAACATATGAATTTGACAGTCGACGCTCCAAATGTACATTTTGATGGATTTAACCTCATATTAAATTTTTGAGTGTTTCAAAAGTTTCTTTCAAATCTTTTATTTATTGTTTAGTCGATATACTTTTAACTAAAACATCATCCACATACATTTAAATATTTTTTTATGTTAGGCAAAAAATTACATTCATGAGGCGCTGATAGGTCAACCCAGTATTTTTTAGCCCAAAAAATTTTACATAAAAAAAGTCATGTGTGGTAATAAAAGCAGTCTTATTCGCATCGATCAGATGTATCTTGATCTAGTGGTAGCTAAGAAAAAGCGTCGAGGAAACTCAGCACGGAGTATCCGATCGTCGTAGGATCCACGAGTGTATCAATATTTGGCAACGAATACTTGAGGTTGATGAAGTCAACACACATCCTCCACCTGCCATTGGGCTTTCGAACCATCACGACAGTTCAAAATTCATGTCAGGTCTTGAACCTCCTGCATGTAGCCCATTTCTTTCAACTTTTGCACTTCCGCAGCTATTGGCTCAGCTAAGGTTCTTTTTTTTTACCCGATCATCTACTACATTGGTCAAGCAGTTGAGTTGATACTCAATCAATGATAAGTAACGTCGATCAAAATTCCTGACATTTTTACCATTGTCCAAGCGAATATGCCTAGATTCTCACAAAGAGTTTAGATCATAAAATTTTTATGTCTTGCATCAAAACCTTCACTTATTAAAAAAACTTTACCAGACTCTTTACTGTCAGCCGCAAATACTTTGAGGATGATCACACTGGTCTCGGACCTCCTTCCATTTGGATATGAATAACAACGGGCTCATGATCAACCCTGGTGACCGCTCGAAGGCGGCACTCCTAGACTGTTAGAAGTTTCCTCGGACCTTAATGATCTCCCCATTGCCCGAGAATTTCACGGCTAGGTGGTAAGTCAACGCCACCACTCAGTAGTTGTTCAGTAATGGTTGGCCAAAAACGGTGTTGTAAGTGCGAGGTAACACGACCACCAGAAAGTCCCTCGAGTTGGTATAATGTTTCTCTCGTTCGCTCCTTGAGAAGCAGAAAGCAATAACACCTAAAGCTTCTTTTCTTTCACCAGATAAGTTAAATAGTGAGCTTGCTAGAACTGTCAACCGATCGGTTTTTAGCCTGAACTTATCAGACCCTGTCTTGAGGATGATGTTCATTGAATTCTGGTATCCACCAAAATACTACACATATGGTAGTTTTTTATCAGCGCCGTAACGAAAATCACGTCGTCATAAGAGGTTCCTCTAGATGGAAGGTCAACATCTATAAAAATAATCGGAGGATGGCTACGCTTATAAGTGACAATAAAACATATATCTCCCGATTGAAGCCTATTTTGGCTGGATTGACGGGAAGATTCTCCTCATCTCCCAAAGATAGTCGGGTTGATTCCGATAAATGTGGACTTCGTTCGCCCAAGTTGGCCCATCGATTGGCTCTTCACCGGACACCTTTCCTTGTCACCGCATCTATCCTTTGATGGCGATGAACTTATTACCCTTTCTTGTCTTAATGAGTTCCTCCACCAAGTTTGAGAGATAGAGACACTCCTCTTGTGTCATGCTCGTGATCTTGGTGGTAGTCGCAATACTTGTTTGGATTTTGTAACGCAAGTCTGGCCTTCATTGGTGGGGCTTTCAGGAAATATTCCTTATTTTGTATTGTTACTACTAGTTCAGCCATCAAGACATTTAGTGAGGGCAAGCCTTGCATTTACCAATGTATATGTGGGCGCTCATAATGCCAAGTCAGTCGTTGGTCATAACTTCGGCTTTGACCCAAATGTCCTCGACTCTCCCGCAATCTCTGGATGTTGCTATGGTGTTGATAGCCGTAGGGATTTTGATTATCTTTCGACCTCTGTCCTTCGTCCCTCGCCTTCCTCTTCTTCGATCGTGGGTCAATCGATGCTAATTTGTCTAGGGTGGAGTCCCTGAAGGATTCTTTGCTAGCGATGTGGTTGTTGGCCATCTTCAACATCCCAAAAAGAGACTTTGGTGCAAGCATATTCAAATCATACTTGAAACGTTCGTCTCTAACCCCTTGTGCCAGAGCAGACTGGGCTATTAATAGTTGAAAGTTTGTACTTCTAACATCTTCTTCTGAAAAAGGGTGATGTCTGATTGCAAGCTTTCCTTCTTCCTCTGCTTGATCTACAGCAGGGCCTGCGTCTTTTTCTTCAACTTCTGCAAGTTGGCGAAGTGTGCCAAGAAAAGTTTCCTTAACACAGTGAAGGTTGGGATAATTCTGATCGGTAGAGCAAAAACCAGTAGTAGACTGATTTCTTAAGTGTCATCAGGAAAAGGTGACACCCGTTAACTCAAAAGAAGTTAATTGGTCGATCATATCACTTTTTCCCTTAAGTATTCTGACCGGCGACTAAATGTGTCGATTTATTACCAATCAATCCAATATTATGTAACAAGAATATCTTTAATTTAGTTTAGGTGAAGATGCAAGACATTGATTTTTTTTTTTAAGATTACTTATAATAAATAAATAAAAAATGCTAAGATATCGCAAGCAAAATTTTTGTTAGGATGAATCATTATTTAATTTATTTTTTTAATTGCAATTATAATTAATATTGCACCCATCTAAGGCAAATAAAAACAACTGCTTGCTATGACATTCAATTTAAGAATAATCCGCTTTAGACGCATTTATCTAAAACAAACAGATCAACTTAAACGACAGTTATAATCAAAATTTGAGTAATCAGATAAACGTAACTGCTAACAAAATTCACCTAAAAATCAGATTCCCTCGTAAGAAGTAGGCCTGAGAATTTAGCTCGGAGATCATCAATCGATCGAAACTCGATTCGATTTTTGGCTTTGATCGAGATCGGATCGAATAAAAGAGCCAAGCTCAGAGCCGAAACTTTGGATCGAATTTTTATCAAACCGATTTCGAGCTATGCATAGATCGGCATGAACTTAGTCAAGATTGGCTTGCATTATTTTTTTATTTATAAAAATTATATAAATAATACTAAGTAAAATTGAATAAAATGAGTCACAAGCTAATTTCGAGCCGATTGTGCGCTGCATTGGATCCAAATAACTTAATTTGAGCTGAAACGAACAGATTCTGAGTTGAAACTGATCCAAACAACTCAATTTAAGCAAGCTCATTTTGATTTCAAATCGGATCGAGCTTGATTCACTCAAAATTGAATATAGCAGCAAACAAGCCAATTTCTTTCGTGCGAAGCTGATCGGCTTGAAATCGGAACCGTAACAGCCCGAATAACAAAGCACCAATATAACTATAGAACTAGTGATTAAAAGAATTTTTTATATTATAGATATACAAATAATAAAAAGGAGCATTTACATACAGACCACCCAAAATAATGCTATTTACAAATCAAACCCCCTCTTTCATCCTTTTTCTATTTCTCACTCAACTATTAAAGGTCATGATAAAACTCAAATCCATATTTGTTATTTTTATTAAATACAAATATTTTGATCATGATACCCATAAATTCATCGATTTAATATTTAAAAAAAAATCACCTAAATATGTGATTTGTAAATAACAATATTTATTATGTTCTCCATGTAATTATCCCCAAAAAATATCAATATCAAGTCCTTCCTATATAGTTCTTTCCCT